ATTAATTACGAACGCAAATTAATTTAATAATATACATACTTTAATAGCATCGTGTAATAAAAATTAAACCCGCAAAATTATAATTTGCGTAATTACTGGTGGTAGGACCTCTTGTGAGTCCGCGTGGGTGGGTACCACCACCCTGCCTATTTCTGCCGTGAAGCAGTAATGCGTTTCGGTTTGAGGGGTGGGGCAGCCGTTGTAACTATACTTGAGACCTTAGAACTTATATCTCAAGGTGGGTGGCGCATTTACGTTCTAGATGTCTATGGGCTCCAGTAACCACTTAACACCAGGTGGGCTGTGAGTTCGTCCACCCATCTAAGCAATAAAAAAATAAAAAAAACTTTTCGTTACGTAATTGAATCAAAAACAGACTTTTGTTTGTATCTGCGCATTCGTGCGCGAAATCGTCGCTGGCTGGATTGCTATTGGATGTTATTTGGATGATATTTCCGGTGATGTTCTGAAAATTGTTTACAAATAAAAGATTCAGAACTAATTTCGAAGTTTCCGGGTATCGGTGTGCTAAACTGCTATAACGGCACATTCTCACGTCGAGTAATTTCGTTTGATTATTTCCGAGTTTCCTAATACTTTTCAGTTTTCGGTGTCACGTTTTTCTTGTTTACATTGGTCAACGTCTGTTTAAGTACTATTAATTATATTATGTGTTATTGACAACAAATTTGTGCTTATAAAGTTTCATGCACAACTACCCTTGTTTCTAGGGTTAAGCAGTTTTGCTTTTAAATCCTATTTTTTTACATTTACCCTTGTAACCACACCGGCCGGTTACTTTAATGGTGGGTATTTCCGACACTGATAAACGCCCACAAGTCAGGGGTGCAGTCAATCCCTTGTTAACAGCAAGATTTGTAGTACTACACAAATTATACATGTCATATTAGAATTACATATTACATTAGTAGTATTGCAATGCAATCGAGACTTTGATTTCATGTCTCACGAAGGATGATGGCATTTTACCACTTACATTGGCCACCAAACAGATTTCGAATCCATATTGATATTGGACTGGACTAATGAAAAACTTGCTGAATTGTATATAGATGAATGGAATATATATTCATTGCGGCAGATATTTATTCTATCAATCTAATCAATCTAATTCCTCATACATCAATGGACATGATGCAATTGAAATGTCAAGGTCTTTAATATAGTTTATTTTTTTATTATGTTTGAATATTACGAATATGTTTGGTTATATGGAATATTTGGTTTTATAGAAAACATATATTATGGATAAGTAAGATATATTCATCTATATTTATTATTTATTCGTAGATCTGTTTAAATAAAAATGAATTACTGTTCGTTAGTCTCGCTAAAACTCGAGAATGGCCCTTGAGATGGATCGATTTGGCTAATTTTGGTCTTGAATTGTTTGTGGAAGTCCAGAGAAGGTTTAAAAGGTAGATAAATACGAAAATACTCGGAATTAAATAAAAATTACAATTTTGTTTTTTCTTTGATGTGACTCCCATCAGACGGATTCCTTTTGATTGTTTTAAGTTTATTTTATACAAAAGTTTAGGTATTTTATTTATCGATTGAAGCACTACGAAGTCTGCCGGGTCAGCTAGTATTGAATATATTTGTAAAGTTAGTATTAATCCCTTTACGAAGCACTTCTAACAAGTGGTGAACATGTTTTAAATAATTTAAGGTGTTACTTGTAATTTAGCATTAGTTAAATACATTTTTCCCCTTACCTATTCCCTGGTAGCCTAAGGGGCAATTCCAGTTATGCCCGGACGGGAAAGAAAATTAAAATACGTTGTAAGCTGCACCCGTGGCTAAAAAGCTTTCCAAAAGTCATTTAATATATCAATACAATACATACAATAATGTAAATAAAAAAATAATATGTATAAGGAATTATATTAATTTATGAATATTAACCGTAATTTATTGTTGGATAAAACAGTAATTCTATCTTTTTTTTTCTTGATAATTCTCTACATACTACTTTTTTCTTGATAATACTATGCTATTTTATGCTATTATGTGCCTTTAATTTGTATAAAACCAAAGTATGAAAACTGAAGTGAAAAGAACTATTGAATTGAAAAGAACCAAAATTCAATGTAAAACTCCCGGACCGGATAACTTTCACAATGGATTTTACAAATCCCATTTCGACAAAGGCCCCGTTACCGATGCTCACTCGGAGTATGAAAAATGAATCGACATATTTCTATCTGATTGACGATGGTTTAAGGTTTGCAGTTTAGCTGTGAACGGGGAAAAAATACAATGTCTAAACAGATTCCTGTATTTTCACATATAATTTATATTCAGCATTCAATGAGTATTATGAGTGACTCGGTGGAGCATTAGTTAGTGCCCCTGAGTATTATTGTAACGGGGGTCGTCAATTTGATTCCCACAACGGGGAAACATTGTGTAATCAACAGGTGTGTTTGCTCTTTGTCTTATCTAGACTTAGTCTGGCCATAAATACTGTTACAATTAAAAATAAACAAAATATTACATTTGAATTTGGAATCTGTCATTTTTATATGATTGCTCATTGAGTAGTAAAATGTTTGTGTACCGAGCTATTAATAGGTGCAATGAGACCTCCTCTGTTTGTAACAGAAAAAGATCTGGCCGTCCACGTAGTGTTCGTACGAAAAAGGTGGTCAAAGCAGTAAGGGAAAGAATTCTAAGAAATGCTGTCCGAAAGCAAAAGATTTTATCTCGGGAGATGAAGATAGCACCTAGAACCATGTTGCGTATTTTAAAAGATGACTTAGGACTTGCAGCCTAAAAGAGACGTACTGGTCATTTCTTAACTGATAATTTAAAAGAGAATAGGGTGGTAAAACCGAAACAACGACTGAAGCGGTACGCAAAGGGAGGTCAGAGAAATTTTTTGTTTGCGGATGAGAATTTTTTTTCAATTGAGCAACATTTTACAAACAAAATGACCGTATTTATGCTCAACGCTCTAAGGAAGCTTCCCAATTAGTCGACAGAGTGCAACGTGGGCACTATCCGACTTCAGTGATGGTTTGGTGGGGTATTAGCTATGAAGGAGTGACTGAGCCATACTTTTGTGAAAAAGGTATCAAAACATCGGCACAAGTGTATCAAGATACCATTCTTGAGAAGGTAATGAAGCCCCTTAACAACACCCTGTTCAATAATCAAGAATAGTCCTTCCAGCAAGACTCGGCGCCAGGTCATAAAGCTCGGTCTACGCAGTCTTGGTGGGAAACGAACGTTTCGGACTTCATCAGAGCTGAAGACTGGCCGTCGTCTAGTCCCGATCTTAATCCGTTGGATTATGATTTATGGTCAGTTTTAGAGAGTACGGCTTGCTCTAAACGCCATGATAATTTGGATTCCCTAAAACAATCCGTACGATTAGCAGTGAAAAATTGTCCCATGGAAAGAGTGCGTGCTTCTATTGATAACTGGCCTCAACGTTAAAAGGACTGTATTGCAGCCAATGGAGACCACTTCGAACAAGCTTTTTATATTTTAAATAGTTTTATATTTATGTATTAAACTAACACACTGTAAAAGTAATAAATGTTATTTGCAATAGATATATTTTTTTTTTAATTGTAACAGTATTTATGGCCAGACTAAGTATATACATGTATATATTTAAACGTATTTATGTAAGTATTTCAGTCGCGGATATTGCCGGTTAGCCGTGCGTGATTTGTCTCCAGTTCCCAATTATTCCCAGTTATAACATCAGACTGGGTTCGGTTACGGATTCAATAGTCATAAGGTATCGTGAGCTCGTACAGGTAATGACGACTATACTGCCTATTTAGTAAACCGTGAGGCAATCACTTTCCACCTTGAAGGGTAGGAGATAGCTCCTATACAATTAATAAACAAACCTCGTGTCTACAGGGTGGCCCATAAGTCCTTTGAAAAGTAAAATTTGAATAAAACGAACAGGGCGCGCGTGAGCGGTGCAGGGGAAGCGTGGGGAGTAACTTCGGTTTCTGGGAATTTAGTCGCGATGGAGCGTTTTACCGGAGCGGACCGTGCGTTTTGTGTGCGCGAGTTTTATAAAAACGACAATTCGGCAACCGTTGCGCGGCNTTACGCCGCGCAACGGTTGCCGAATTGTCGTTTTTATAAAACTCGCGCACACAAAACGCACGGTCCGCTCCGGTAAAACGCTCCATCGCGACTAAATTCCCAGAAACCGAAGTTACTCCCCCCGCTTCCCCTGCACCGCTCACGCGCGCCCTGTTCGTTTTATTCAAATTTTACTTTTCAAAGGACTTATGGGCCACCCTGTACAAATTGTAAGATAGTAAAAGTGTGTTAATTAGGCGACGCGCGGTGTCCAGATACTCATGTGACGTATCTTAGCATTCCAACGCGAGTTCACGTAATTTCAACTAACGAAAAAAAAACAAGTAGTGCGTACTAATGACTAACTTAAATAAATATTGTGTTCCGTTCATGTTAGGTTAGTAGTTCATTGCCATTCATTCATTCATTCATTGTTCATTTTCTGTTTTGGAATCGGAACGAACAAGTTTACAGATTACATTAACAGATTAAAATTGAATTTCGCGACAAATTATACATAACATTTTGATGGCGATGACGACAAAAATTTTTTTTTAACTATGCAGTTTTTTTTTTCTTTCTGGCTTTTGTTGCTTAGATTTAAGTACAACTTTGCCAACGTGAGGTAGTGGAGGTATCAACATGATTATGCTAAGACATTTACTTTACATTTACAGGCATGATAATAGAGTTGCCTATTTAGTTTTACAATTTTTGCATTGAACAGCTAGTAGGGAACTATAATTTTATATTATTATAATGCAGTTTTTATGACGATTCCTATCGCACAACACTGTACATGAAGTGGTCAAGTAAAGCGATTGCAAAAACATTACCTTTTTGTGATGAACTTTACCCTATGAAGCGGCTGAACTACGTAAGCGAAGACGTCTACGCAAAAACGGTTTCGAGTAATTACTTACTTGTCTGGCAAGTCTGGCGCCGGCGTGGAAACAACCACGTCACCTAGACGCACATGTTTCGAATAATCCGTATAGTGAGGTACTCCTCCGCCCACGCCGACTAGGAAAACGTATTCGACCTACAAGGTAATAATTGATCAATTTAGTGACATTGATTTTGAGTTTTAGTTTCAAACGCCAATCAAGTTCGAGAAGGTCACCAATCGGACAATGTTCGTATTGGACGTGACCATATTTTCCGAACATAGGACAAATTAAAAAGCCTTCGGTGTTGAAATGAATTGTAATACATTGGTGCTCGAAATGTTTTATTTTGTACTAATTTAACAGACGAACGTATTAACGAGATGCACGGGATGAAAATTTGAGACTGAGCAAATTTAGCAACTGCTTCTACATAGATGTACGGTGACCTAAAAAAAAAAACAGTCCATGAAATTAGCAGATATTGAATTGATTTGCTCACAAACACACGGCAAGTGTCGCTATATTTTTTAATACGGGTACGTACCGTGATGGTTACTTTTTATTGATTAGCATCATTATTTACATTTGCTGACTAACATTAGTTTGCTACCGATAGGCTTTGTCACTCGTGCATCTCAAAATTTCGCTTTTTTTATTTGAGACTTTTCCGGCTCTTTAATTTCGTACTTAACTTTTACAAAGCGTAACGGTAGATAACATTGAAATACCATACACCAACGCATATAGCATGCGAAATCCAATGTACCTATAATAATTTCTTTAGACATGCATATTTTTGTTTCGTTTATTTTTAACTATCTACGAATGCCACGCGCCAGATTGCAGAGCATATGGCAACATATTTCGGTTTAATACCTCTCTATTCCGTTCTAAATTTGTCTACAGTGAGTCGAAAGAAACATAGCATTCCCATGCCATCATAGCTATTTCACGCGCGAGAAAAAAATGCATACACTCAAAAGAAGGCAAATTAAATTCGTGTATGAACACAAATAAGATTAACAAATGTATTCTAAGCCGTTGTGGAATTTTTTCTTTCTGTGAGTTTCACACAACTGGATATACTCACATGAAATCTGCTCACATTAATTTTCAACTTGAATAGAAAAAAATGAGTACAATATTAAAATCACCTTATTGAGCTAAGCAGATAAGCTAAATAAGCTGATAAATTAATGTTTAAATTAAATTTTGTAGGTTCTCCAGAATAACTCAATTCTATACATTTAAATAAGTACGGATTTACTAGTATAGCGTTAACTTCATAAATTAAGAAATTTGCAAATTGTCTGTTACATTGAAGATGAATTTCCTTATTCAGTTATTCAATTTAAAAAAACAGGCAACGGCAAATAAGTACGGATTTACTAGTATAGCGTTAACTTCATAAATTAAGAAATTTGCAAATTGTCTGTTACATTGAAGATGAATTTCCTTATTCAGTTATTCAATTTAAAAAAACAGGCAACGGCAACAGAATAACATCTAGTCACAAAGCGATTATTATGAGAAACAAACAGAGGATTAAACATTCCTATGAAATTATGCAAAAACACACTTAAAAATCGTTCAAAATTAATAGGTTTTCTGGACGCTAGCAATGTCAGAGGCACACCCAAGGCTTTGCCTACATATAGGTTGTTTTTTAAATATATGATTAATGGATTACTGGTGGCCCGGAGGCCTTTCCAGTATCACCAGGATGGTGGGCGAGCAAGGGCTCAGCCAGGAGAGGTGGGATTTGCTAACAGCTACCCGAACGCCTCCAAAGGAGACCTAACAACTCAATAGCAGCTGTTTCGTGAATAAGCATATATGTACAAGTTTCAAACGAACGATGAATACAAATTACATGACGTTGCACAAAATATGACGACGTTGAAAATCGTGTGACGTGACAGGAATTCCTTTTATACCATACATTCATTATGTATGTATATGCATTTACGAATGATGTCATGTCCGGGAAATTTTGGCTGACTTTTAAACAGTAAGGATATTTACGTTCGGGGGTGATTTTTTTTAAACCATAGTTATGAAAAGACATAAAACAAAAAAGTTTTTAGCGTACTTTCCTCCGAAATTCACAACTATACATGAAACAATTTTTAAAATATACTTGATAGTTGTTTATAATAGTTATCTTTACTCTGAATACAGATTAGTGTCCAGTGTAATTGTTATGGTGAACTATTGAACTATGATTAATGATTATTTTCATACAAAGAAGCTTTTGAATAACTTATTACTGAAGAAAAACTATCAATCTTTTGCATTATTTAATGTTAATTTTTTTATTTAATGTTAATGTCAATGCTATGAAATACATAAAATCATTACGAAGTCTATTTTATTAAAGTAATGAATACACGTAATATTATTAATCAAATGGTTTTTCTTTAGTTACTAGTACGTCAATTAAATTTAATACGACGTATATTTGTTTGAGTTACCTTTTGAAAGATTCCAAGAAGTCTTGTAGTGGTATTGCCGGCTGCAGTCATTGCTTCTCTGGTACGGCCCACGGAAGGTAGTTTAGTAGTGACAACTCGATGAGCACCGATTGTTCCCAATGTATAAACATTCGATTCTCCTGGTAGGTTTATATAGAAAAGTCAATCATTTATTTAATTCAATTATTTATGTTTGTGTCATCCGCTGGAAATCTCTTTTACAGCCTAGTTCCATTGCGATTTTAGTTAACAGTAGTTTAATGAACAGAAATGTTACATTGTTTTGGGTCCCGTAGCTTAATAAAAAATCTTTATTATTTCGTCGTGTTAATTAAATAATTAAGAGATTTGGTAGAACTTAACATTGTATCATTTGAAGGAAATCTAATATTTAAATAATAAATCTGTTATAATGATAACGCTAGGTTCCCGTTAGGCTTACTTTATACTATATAATGTTGTGGGCACTCATGGATAGGCACATAGAGCCCTTCAGCCTATTAACGGCTCCACAGCGTTCATATAACCTATAGAAACAGCCCACTGAGTTTGTCGCCGAAGCTTTTTAGTGGGCCGCGATTCCGATCCGGTGGTAGATACTGCGAAGCATTGCTTTTGCTAAGACTGGTGTTAGCAAATTATCTCAGGCTGAGCACGCACCCGTGCACGCGAAGTTGAAATAGCCCCTTAGGCTATCAAATCAAATCAAATCAAATCAAATCAAAAAAGTTCTATTCAACATAAATGAAAGTACATACTTATTGAACGTCAAAAGAACTACCGCCAATTTACAAGAATTAGCCTCCGTCCTGAAAAGAATTGGTAAGAAACTCAGCAAGCATGTCTTTTTTTTTTGGAATATTAGATATTTTTTTTAATATTAATGAATAGCTAGGTAAAAAAACAAGAATCGCCGTTTTTTGAAAGTATCAGTTACCCTAATTTAATTGAGTTTTTTTAACTCGAACTGGATACCAGCAAAATTGTTGGTGAAATGTCTATGGACACTGGTAATCACTCAACACCAGATTCAAAACGAGATCACCTATGTCATAAAACAGTTAACTTAGCGCACGTTACTGCGGTTTTAGTAGGGTTTTACGTGAGTAAGGAGTTCAAAAGAAGTGATTCACATTAGTGATGGACGAATACGAGTTCTTGATCGATTAAGTAATTATTCGATGTTGCATTGTACGAGTTTGTAGACAGGTAGATTTTTTTATACGATATTATATAATATTTTTTTTATTTGCAGAGTAGAAGAGCTAGAGAAGATTTTAGCTAAGTTTTTTTTAAATGTTACTTTATTTATTTTCTTTAACTAGAGCTAGCCAAGAGGAGGACCTGTCTTCCTCATCTCCCTCTTCTTCTCTGGAAGTGCCGGAGTCCGACATAACCCGGTCAGTTACACCCCTCGACCTGGTATCCGTAAACGGATTCCCCATAGTTAAACAAAACTGGGCAGAAAAGCTGTTTTTTTATGCCTCAAATGTTTTGAGGCTTCCACCTCGTATCTTAAATTGGTGGCATGAGTCTATGAATAGGCAATTAATAGCAAATGATCCATAAGCTGGTCTAGTTCTATCCAATACCATTTAATTCCTTCAAGTAAAATAAAATATCACGACAGTGTCACTTTATATTTAATTTCAATTTTGAGCCTGAATACGTGTTATTTAATGGACACATTAAATAGTACTTTAGAAAAAAAAATCGACAAACAATCGAATACTAATAATCTTATTCGATTAATTTATTTTCAGTATACAGACCAATCGAATTATTTAGTAATCGTAACGGATCGTCATTCATTAGACATTTATATTATAAAGCGACAATAACTCATTTATTGCATTTAATAACGTGTACCTTTAACAAGTGGTCAATTAGAAGAACGATTTAAAAGTTATTAGCAGGTGATAAAATTTACATTTCAACTGCCATCATTATCGACTATTACTAAAATAATTAGGATGTCTTATTTGTTTTCATCCTTGTGTTTATCATTTTTGTTGTGCTCGTTCATAGTGATTCGTGCGAAACCATTAGATAATGAAATGTTGCAAACCAACGAATTACAGTAAGTTTTGATTTTATTCTAATCTAGTTATTTGTAAAGAAAATTAGTTTAAGACGATTGTGATAATGATCTGAAATATATTTATATATTTGTCATACTACACTTGCCTTATGTTATTTTTATGTTTTTGGCATAGTGGAACTTCGTTTTTAAATTCAACCAAATGATTTTTATAAGCTAGATTGTCGGAAAAGAATCGTGTTTTTGTTATTCGAGTTTCGGTAATCGAGTCTATACGATGGAACCGTTCCTATTCGGACACCACCAGTCAGATCTAGTGGTATGGCTACCGATCAGCTAGAAGGCATGTTATTTTGCTTAGTCCACTGAGTTTCTCGCCGGATCTGTGAATCGCGATTCCGATCCGCTAGTAGATTCTGCGAAGCACTCCTCTTGCTACGGTTAGTGTTTCGAAATCGTCTCAGGTTGAGCCGGTGAGCTCACCTACCCATACGGGCGTAGCTGGAATAGCCCCTTAGGCGACCAGTGCATAGGTATATGAAAAAAGAAGTCTACCATTTTTCGGCCCAATCAAATAAATTCAAAATCGAAACTGAGCGCAAACTATAAAACTGTCCGTTTGTTTTTCTAAAGCGACACATATTTACGTGTAGACGAAAATGTAGTCTTTTTGTATGTTCCTCTCTCTTTCTGTCGTTACCAAAGTTAAACTTTTTTAAATGGGCATGACCTGCTATGCAAAAGCAAAAAAAATTGCTGCGATCATGAATAGAGTATTTTTTTAGTCTCTTAAAGCCGGGCCAGGGCGTGTTGGATTACGCACGCCGGTAATCAAATTTTCAATAGTATCTGCATTTATAATAAGTTTGCAGTAATCGCTAGTAAAGCTCGTTCACGTTCCGCAGTGACTATCACCAACTCTACGGTAAATAGGAATTTCTGAAACTACTAGAGCCCTATTTGATATTGGAATAGGACTTATTGTACATTAAACGATTCTCAATAGCTATACATACCAAGTTTCAACACAATCATTTAATACAAGCATTTAATTTTACAAGTATTTAAGTGTATTTATATATATAAAATATAGAACAAATTAAATAATTCTATTGCACAAATCTCGATCGATATTTTTGTCGGTTTTTTTTTTAATTAAAGATAATTTGAAAAACTATTTAACTAAAAATGTACGTATTTCTTGTTTTTATTTGTATTACTCATAAAATGTTTGATAGAAGATTGAAAAAAATATACTAAAGTGTAAAAGTAATAAGCCCGCGATTAAACCAGTTAAGCAGTCCTCGACTCGTGAAATTTATAGAAGATACTTGCCATACAATACAATATAATTTCTTTATAGTAAAAATAAAAAAAAAGTATATGACCACTACTCAGACATAGACGCATACAGTAGCAACATGATGTTTCATTCCCTATCCTTTCGTAATTTAATGAAAGCTTAAAACAGAATATTCATGGTAACGGCATACATAGTACGCATGATGTGAAAATATTTGTGCTGGTGGAATTAATAAGGGAGAAAAAAAAATGCTTTGGTATCGAAATAATCCTACCCGCTGTATTCAACCTTGTCTTGTAATATTAAACATTGTTTCGCAGGGATAAGCACAGCTAGTTTATCCATTTGTGAAGGAAGGTTGAAAATAGTTACATTAATTCTAAAGATTACCATGATAGTACAAAAAAAATATGTATACTCTTAGTTTAAATTAAATCTTAAGACGGGTGTCGGCCATTCACAGTGCGATTTCTATCGGCTCTGCTAATCACTTCACACCAAGTGGGGCGTGAACTGGTCTACTCATCTACAACTATATGATATGAAATAAATGTAAATACAATTTATATCAGTGGTTAACTCATTAATTTTAACATGCATTATATATAGTTCCACCAAATCATTTGAAAATCTTAAATGATTCTTTTAACGAATCTTCTCGACTGGCTATATGATTAAGGTCTAAGGTTTTAAGAGCCAATTTTTCAAACAGATCCTATTGTCTAGTCACGCGTGTCGAACATAAACGACAAAAAAATTGATTTCGCCTTGGGATATTGTAAAATATTTGTTTTACTGTTCGTTGTTCTAATGAAATATCATGGTCGGGTTTATTAGTATTTCAAAGTAAAGTTATTACTTACTAGTTAGCCACTTCACACAAACGCATTGCTATTACCTAGTTAAAATACGCACCTACACATGCTGTTGCGAGCTATTGGCTCTTAAAAGAATAGTATTTAATATCGTAAGATCATATGATAAATATTAAATAGTCTAGTAAATATTTGGATTTCAATTTATCAAGCCGCCTAATACAAATATAACTATTCAAGTATTCGTTATACCGTCATCTATTCTAAATAATAGTAATAGTAGAGATATGTAATGCAATCCCTTTTTTTACCGTCGCACCACCTAGCCAATAGAGCAGAGTTCACCTCAACATGACACCGCAGGGTTCATTGCATATTTAAGTTTAGTCCAATACAACGGTTACTATTATATGAATGTTGAGTTAAAGAAAACTAAGTAGGTATTTATAATTACACGCCGCGTCTCTGCTGTGCCTTAGAGCGTACTGAGCACTGACTAATCTATTACGATTCTTTGTCGAAGTAACACAGTCCAAGTGAACGAAAAAATGTATTAAAAAACTGTACTTAAAAAGTTTGGTTTGCGAGTTCATTCTTTAATATCACCGTAGTATCTACAGATATAAAAGGTGCGTGTCGTTAATTTATATCAGTATTATAAGAAAATAATTTACTTTCTAAATATTGTACAGAATAAGGACTTATAAATAAAATCAGACGTTATCTAACATTAAGCATTCTGAACTATTAACCTATTTTCATTTCAAATATATTGTTAAATGGCTTTATACAACTCAATAATCTCTTGAATATTTCACATTCAACCACGCTATTAAAAGAGCAATCGTAGCTATTTTTATCAATGGGCAGTGCTTTATTTGTTCGACCTGTAAGTGTGTATGTAAGGTATTTACCGTACGTACGGTAGGAAAACTTTTAAATCGTACTTTGTATGAATGCAGCGTTTCCAGGTAATAGGGCTGAGCCAACACTCACTAATAATGGATGCGAAGATAAAAAAATGAGGGGTTCATTTCAAATTTATTCTCAGAACCCCTGTATCCACGGAATAGATAAATAAGGTTGGAAAGGCCTTTGCTCTAATTTTGTATTAGAACCAGTGTCGCCGCTTCATCCCCACTATTTTAATTTTTACACATACACACACTGTGATTACAAGTATTTCGCACACAACAAAAACACCCACACATAAATCTCAGGACAGATATTCGTTCGCAAACTAGCACAAAACACCCGTAGGCATACACACTCACACACGCAAAAAGGCAATAAAAATGTTCATACACGCTAGTGCTTGATAAAATCGATATTCTTTATCGATAAATTATCTGATGAATGAATGGAGAAAATGAAACATGAAATAAATATTGAAAAAAAAAACTATTTTACTTTTATTAATTACAAATAGTCACTGTCGCTGGAATAAAACGTATTTGTTAAGCAGTTGGCGCTTGCTATTAATTGCGAATGAATTTTTCAAAACTAAGTGTATTCTGATTTTTTTTATGATAAAATCATTTTCAGTAAAATGTTTAGAGCAAATAGTACTCGTCTTTGTCTCCAGTTTCCTCTACCTGTCACGTCAATCCATTGTTCCCTGGCGTTAGGTTCTTTAGGAAACCTAAAATTTTTAATTTACTGCATAAGTCAAATAGCATTTTACTTAGATTTTAATACGTCTTAGACAATATAGTAAATACCCGTAAATGAGAGGTCTACATGTCCCTTTATATTATACCTTCACTTTAATTCAATGATAATAATTCAATAATAATAATACATATTTATTTTACTCAAAATACGTCTCACTAAGAATATACTAGGTATCATTAATTAAATATAAAATAATGCAAAAATTATCCATGTCAAATGTAAATATAGTCGAGAATTCTGTCGATGATTTTATTTCACCACATGGTCACCTCACTATCGACAAACTAGCGCCGTGCACCACGGCCAATCAGGGCAAAGGCCGAAATTTCAAAGATTGAAGTGTAGAGAACGCAATGCATGTAGTACATTGGAAGCTGACTTGGTCATTGCGTTCATTGGGCGAGTACACATCGCGCAATGTATGCTATTTATAACTTGCTGCAATAATATTGTTAATGTTTGGAATTTCATAATGCTCAGTATATTTTTATGTTTTAGACAAATAATATTGTAATTAAATGGTAATTTCGACTTACCGATCGAAAGATATACCTCCTCGCTCTATACTTGAGGTCTGATTTTTTGTTTTACAAGTTATAATTGCACAACACGGCACTATAAAGCGGAGATCTGTTCGCCAAGTAGTCCGAAGCGCACTAAACGCGGTGAATGAAAGAATCGGTCGAGTTATGTTTGTTCTATCATAACTGTGGCACGCTTGCCCCGCCTACATTACCATTCCAACCTTATTTATCTATTCCGTGCCTGTATCAGTAATTGCTAGGGTTTAAGTAGTTAAAATCACGTTTTATTAAATTAAATATAGTTAAATATAGTTTTCGTTTGTTTGACACAACTGAGTTACGGTTTTTGTTCCGAGATCGATTTTTTTTTTAGTTAAGTACCTACATCGGTATTTTTTGCAAATGCTCGTAATACGCTGAATGTGTGTGTATTTAAGTAAATAATTAAACAACTGATCAAATTTATCGAAGTGAAAGATCGTACTCGTTTTTTTTTTCTGATTTTACTAACATTGTGGTAAATTTCGTTTCGCTATTAGTAAGATGAATAGACGATATTATTACTATTTTATCTAGATATTTGCATGTATAGTGATTTTAATTCAACGATTGAGCTTTTATTGGGGTCAAACCGGACGTTGTCATTTGCCCCCCAAATAGTATTCCTTGTACCTTGCACTGAAACAAAACCAACTGATATTCTTACTTATGTAAGTTTATATACTTACATTTACAAAATATACAGACATGGGAATCGAACCCACGACCCCCGGACCAGCATTCTCGGACGCTAACTTCTGCACCACCGACTCAGTCAATATTGATTGCCATATCTACAACTCATTCAAATTGTTATTCGCTTTTCTTCGTAAAAAAACGGTGTGTTCAAACAAACAAACAAATAATTTTGTAATCCTGATTTTAAATAAACCTCAAAATAACTTGAGTTCAATTTACATTTTAAAGGCTATGTTTTCACCATATTATTTAATTTCGAGTAGTTACTTGTCACAGCCCTACCTTGAATTCAGAGATTGGTACGTTCAGTTTGTTCTATGTTTAATGTTTGTTTAGTCATTACGTCACCCCAATACCTCAATCTTACATCGCTGATCGCCTTCAACTTCAGTCGAGATCGTCATCTCGTGGAAGTTACTGTTTATTTTTTAAAACAAAATTGTCTATGTAAAATTGAAAATGTTAAGCGCGTGCTGGCAGTGTATAGGAGGGTACGATTAGCATTAATAACATTCTTCAATAACACAATAGAAAAAACAATTTGTACTTTTATTTATTTGACTACTTAGCAGCGCAGAAGTGTTTTTCCGTTTATGCCACATCGTACTTTCACCAGTGACCTAGTGTGTACCTACCGGAATTTCGGAACGCTCAAAGATGTCAATGTCAAAACATAAAACAAATCTGATTTCATCGAACATTGTTACTTAATGTACATTTAAATTCGAAAATATTAAACAATAAATAATGCAGTTATGTATACGTGAAATAATAATAGTGAAACAGACGTATGACAATTTATTGATACTACTTCCAGTAGTTATTTGAGAGCGGTAATAGGTTAGATATGAGACAGGTCCTGGTGTAAGTGTTCAGAAATTTAATTTGTTCATAAACAATTTAGGATTTCGTTAAAAATACACAATCGAAGATCAGAAACTCCGAAGAACTTTAATTCAATTGAATTATTGAATATACAATTTCAAAGTATGGTAAATACAGGTGTCTTAATTGAAATATGTGAAATATATATTTTTATTTTTAGAAATCAAGACATCAATACAGCAGACTCTGTTGCACTGAATTTACCTGTCATCACAGACAAGAACATGTTTTTGCTACCAAAGGCTCTCAGTGGAGGAGACAGCTTTACTGTACAAGGATTGATACAGGATAACCCAAAAATGTATGTTTTAATATTTTTAACTGATTTGATAATAAATTTCGTAGAATAATGGTCCAAAACGTTTTGCTACTAATATAAACATGCTACTATATATAATATTAATGCTATTAATATAATAATATTCCTATTCTCTTGGGATGTTAGTTTCAAAAACCTTATAACATTATTACTTGTGGAGAATTTAATATGATATAAAAATACTGAGAAACACTGTCTTCAATTTTGTATATGATTGTGTGATGATAGAGTTGTACTTTCAATAACATTTAGTATTTTAAAGAAGTTATTTGTTACAATATTATTAGGTAAAATACTATGTTATTTTGTTTGCTTTTAGGGTGACAATTTCTTTGATAGGAGGAATCCAAGCACCTGATTATGGAAATATTATCTGTAAAGTTGATGTGGAATTTTCTAATGGTGAAGAAAATATGACAATTAGTCAAGTAACTAATGGAATTAGCGAAATTGTGCAACAGTACTCTGGAACTGAAGTTTTAAATGGCAGTGGTAAATATAACCATGATTTTTCATTACATAGCACAGTTGACTTTTGTAAAAGACACTGTTTAGACACTGGCCCTAGATGTAATATGGGAATGATGTAGTACAACTACTGTGAGTCCTATTTATAGTAAATTAACTTTTCCTTTTGATGGTGTGGTGATGTTATTTTAATATAATAATTATTTACTTTTTGTATAACAGCTACCAATTTTTGTTTTTCAAATTTTTTACAGATGTGAAAATACAGTTTCGAGCAAGAAAAGATGATATGTTGCATTTATATTCAAGTTTTTCATCTTTTATAGGTGAAATACCATTAAATTTAAATATCAATAATGCAAAATACATGTCATTTGGTGGAGATTTGAAAAAAATCACAGAATTAAAATTTGAATTTGTTTGAAAATTGCTATGTTTGCAAATGCATTTTTTGTTAGCTGTTAACTCACAGAGACTAATTATCGTGAAATGTGTATGCAAGATATATTTGTACGCCATTAGTTGTAGAGTTAAAACACCATCATGGAAGCTTTGTTGACTGTTATTTGTTTGATGGTGAGCATGTTTGATTAGTTATAATGATGTTACTGTTAATGTTAGAATTGGGTATGTATTTGACTTAATTTTAAGTAAAATTTAATATTTTGAACATGCCAATAATAAGTTTATTTATAAATATGAAAAGAACTCACAGTGAAAGTGGAATACAGTTAATTGTCAAATTATCAATTTTGCATAAATTGGATAATAATAATAACCCATCAGTATTAATTATTATTAATTATAACAATTTGACCATTGAGGGAGACATTTCATTTTTAAAGTTCATTTTTAAATTAAATTTTAAATTTGCTTCACCACGTAGGATTGGCGTCTTACAAAGCGTTAAATACATTTTTAATCTTAGATATGTTATCAGTGATGTGTTCACTTTTAGCTGTAGTCATTGCCGTCCCACCTTTTAAGTTTGTTTTTAAAACATTCTAAGTTTAAAATTTAATCATCTCATTGTTGTAAGTATATTATGTTATAATGATAATTGTATAATATACATATAAAATAAAACATTGTCTTTATTTTTTACTTCATATCATTATTCAGGTAATTCTGTTCCTTATAATTACAGTGGTGCCTCTGAAAGGAAACAGCCCCGCCCAGTTCCACTTCATTGCACCATTCTCTAGACAAACGTGCTCATGCTCAGTAATATTATCTATCTTTTCAAACAATCTGTTGATTTACATCTGCATTATACATATAATAAATATATCTGCACTTAATGGAATACGTTAAAATTGTATACGTTAACATGTTATTACTCACTTGCAAAAGGCTTTTGCCTCTATTATTCAATCTTATTCAAAATTAGATTAATCTCTGCCTGTTGTACAAAATAAAGATCGGTCAGACTTGTTCTTAACTTCGTATATGTCTGTATGCAAAGGGTGTGTTTTAACACTTTGCCTGGTGACTACAATACATTTTTCGTTAAATAAATGTTTATTCCAAAATTCCTTCTTACTTTGTGGTATCACAATTAGGGTTAATATTAGATAATAAATACCTACCCGTTTGGGCGTACAATACCTAGCCCTACCCAAGTAAACCACTATAATTAGCCCTTTTCCGGTAGTACGACAATAGATACTATATGTTGTCACTTTTCCGAATTCCCAATACAATTTATATTTAAAGACACTGATCAAGGAAACGGGATCTTGAAACGCAAGATGGAAAGGTTGGTCTTGCTAGAGTTTTACCTATTTTTAGCGGTACCGACTTGAACGACCGTTGTTTCGGTGCAATAGAGACCAGCTTAATAACGACTATTACGAATTAGTGTCTCAAGGTAAATAGCCGCATCCCCGTGGCGGTGCCTAGGTGCTCCGGTAAAGGCCGGGTGTACTGCAAGTTTTTTTTTTATTGCTTTAGATGGGTGGACGAGCTCACAGCCCACCTGGTGTTAAGTGGTTACTGGATCCCATAGACATCCACAACGTAAAGGCGGAACCCACCTTGAGATATAAGTTCTAAAGGTCTCAAGTATACTGGATCCCATAGACATCCACAACGTAAATGCGCCACCCACCATGAGATATAAGTTCTAAAGGTCTCAAGTAACTAACTCAAGTTGTAACTATTACAACGGCTGCCCCACCCTTCAAACCGAAACGCATTACTGCTTCACGGCAGAAATAGGCAGGGTGGTTGTACCCACCCGCGCGGACTCACAAGAGGTCCTACCACCAGTAATAACGCAAATTATAATTTTGCGGGTTTCAATTTTTATTACACGATGTTATTCCTTCACCTTGGAAATCAATCGTGAACATTTGTTGAGTACGTATTTCATTAGAAAAATTGGTACCCGCCTGAGATTCGAACACCGGTGCATCGCTCAACACGAATGCACCGGACGTCTTATCCGTTAGGCCACGACTACGAGTTTAGCAGGTATAGTAAAGTACTTAACAAAAAAAACATGGAATGTTGCGCTAGATATGAAACTTTTACAAGTTTTCTATCTCATTTTCTCTCAAGCATAATTATAGGCGTTTAGTTTCATCTCGTTTTAATGTCTTTTTTTATTTTTTTTTTATTTTATGACCTGATGACAGAGACCTTTAGGTCATATCTTATTTGGAAAATGTTCATTACTTTGGGGTCACTACACTTCACTTCACTAAATTTTGTCATTTAAATTGTTTGAATTGTCTTTTTTATGTAATTATAAATAGGTTTATAGGATGTTGGATCTTTTAGTAAAAAGTTAAGTGGCGGCGGGCGGGAGGAAGAGACACACTTAAATGCNTAATAACTACAATTGGATAAAAATACATTAGGAACATCTTAAACATTAAAAAAAGAAAAGTTCTTGAGGTATTTATATAGAAAATTAACCTCAAAACGAGTTTTTTATTTTTATTATATTTTTTATAATAGTGGCGTCAATTTCAATATATTTTTTAGATATCTAATACATTTAAGAATTTGAATCAGTCAATTTTTATAGTAATATTTGATGTCCACCTTGGGCCTAGCACACTATGGAGAGTGGGAATTTCCCTTTACGAGTTATAACATTCATGAGCTTAGATGAGTCTACAAGTGCCCCTGTACTTACTCCCGGGGTCACTGCTCATAGGAGTTGGTAGAACATCGAGGGACGCATATGTAGCGATGCTATGTGAAGGAAAAAAAATGGCACATGTAAAGACCAGATAAAATTGGAACATTTTGTCATTAGAAAAGTACATACGATGCATACAACCTTCATTGTAGCAACAATAAAACCAACAAGGCAATTAATTGACGAAATGTTGTTAATTCCAGAAGTAATTAGAACTCCGACACATCGAACATGCATTCAACTAACGTTAATTAATTGTTCCAGTTGAATCTAATTTAATGATAATATACCGACAACTGTGACCGACGACCAGCATATGTGTATACGACGTAACTAAAACCATAATATGACTATTTATTCTTAACGATAATTCGTGTGTGTATAAAAAAATACTTTGTTGATGCCTGCATACCTAGGCGGCACTGAAAACTTCGGGAATTAACGAAGTGACACAACATTACTATTTAAAAATGTATTTATTGCTTTTTGAAGTATTCTCCGCGAAATTTGACATATTTTTCCAGACGATGGAACCAATCATTGAAGCAACCATTCCATTCGGAAGTTGGGGTCTCCAAAATGGCCGTTTTGTAGGCGTCCACAGCTTCTTCAGGTGATGAAAATCTCTGTCCACGAAATTTATTCTTTATTTTAGGGAAAGTATAGAAATCATTAGGGCTTAGGTCGGGGCTGTACGGCGGATGGTCTAATAATTCTATGTTTTCTTGCTCTAAAAACTCTTTTGTTCTATGCGCGGTGTGAGAACTCGCATTGTCGTGATGGAGGATGATGCGGCGGTTGCAGTTCTCTTTACGGAGTTCAGAAACGACCTGTGGCAAACAAATGCTAGCATACCATTCTGCATTAACCGTTCTTTGTCCCTCAAGAGGAATAGTCGTANGGGCCGCTATGTCAGCCCATGGTATCCTAGGGCCTTACTTCTTTGAGGATGGCAGAGGGCGCGCAGTTACTGTTACGTCGGAGCGATATGTGGCTATGATCGAAGAGTTTTTCATACCAGAATTGCAAAACTTTTCAGGCTTTAATGCCAGGACGTGGTTTCAACAGGATGGGGCCACTTCTCACACCTCTAACACTGCTATGCCCGTTATCCGTCAACTTTTTCCTGGCAAAGTTATCTCTAAGAGAGGAGACATTTCCTGGCCTCCACGTAGTCCAGATCTGACCCCGATGGATTTTTTTTTGTGGGGCTACCTTAAGGCTAAAGTATACGACACAAACCCGCGGTCAATTGAGGCCCTAAAAGAAAACATCCGCAGAGAAATGACAAGCATTTCAGCAGTGACGTGCCGCGCAGTCATCGACAATTTTAGACGTCGTTTGCAAGAGTGCCGTGATCGCAACGGATTACATTTAGGAGATGTTATTTTCAAAAAATAATTCCCGTTTTTTAAGCTTTTTATGTAAATAAAAATTTAATTCATAATGTAATTAGTTTTATTTTAATAATTTTTTTTCATATCAAAGGACTTATGGGCCACCCTGTTATATTTTCGCGGTATATTGTAAAGCTCATATTTTGCAAAGAATGCTATATTGGAGTTAGTGATTCGTTTTATACGCATTTATCTCAAACCCAATTTTTGGATTTGTTAAGCTATTGCATAGCTTTTATCGCGGGTTTTGAGCGCGGTGACCGAATCATGAAATTCCGTAACGAAAAAAATCTAACACCTCTCACCGCCTACCATGTAGCTCGCGTTCAACACATTCACACGTTGCGCTTGTGTAGTGTTTGTGAATAAGCACGTGGCGTGACGTCACACTGCATGCGCATCATGAAAAGTCTGCACATCTCTCTCTCGCGCGGTCGAGCTTATGAGTGTGAAGGGGACAGTTAATGTTTTGCTTTTATTAATGTTTAATATAGCGTGGTCTTGTTTTATTATTGTTTTAATATTAAATTATCATTGTCTAATTATAATTGCATAAGTTGATAAAAAATGCTATGCAATAGCTTTACCGCGGCAGTTCCCGAGTGCCACAGGTTTTTTTTAAATATATTTTGTTATAAATTTTTTATTGCTTAGTTGGACGAGCAGTTACCAGAGCTCATACATAGATTTAAGCAACGTAAATGCCGCTACATACCTTAAGACCTTAAGTTCTAAGTCACAGTTTTTACAGTACAAAGACTGCCCCACCCTTCAAAGCGAAACGCATTACTGCGTCACGCGCGGACTCACAAGACGTCCTACCACCAGTAATTACGCAAATTCTAGTTTATGCAAATTTGATTTTCATTGCACGATGCTATTCCTTCAAAGTAGGAGTGAATCATGAACATTTGGTAATGAAATACCAATAGAAAAATACCTGACTGCGGGATTCGGATATATCAAAAGAAAGCATCGGACCTGCTTGGATGACATTTGATTTAGGCGGACTCTTCTGATATTATTTTACAAATTCGCTATAATAAGGATAGCCTACAGCGACTGAATGTTATTGATCTATAAAAAATGAGACGCTGTAAACGTTTAGGATTCCTTTTCTGTCAAGTACGGCAACAAAACTAAGATGTGCAGTGCATATGATAATACGGTCGATTTTAATATTAAAATTGCTCATATATTTTACGTCGCTGGTAACAGACCTTCGAGCATGTTGAACTCAGATATAATTTTGATATTGTTGAGATGAATTATTGTAAAAAGTATTCAATGACAATTATTTTTTTGTTAATTTCTTATCCCAAATTATTTGTTTAGGGCATGTTGTTTAAATCAAAGTAGATGATGACCGAGCTTTGCTCGTTTTTTTTTTTTTATAACGCCATCTTGTTTTGTCTTTAATGCCGTTAGGTGCCTTCAACTAAGAAAAATAGTATTATTATTCGCCAATAGATGTCGGGAAAAGTCATAAAGTTGATTATCGATAAAGTTGTTAATTGAAAACACGAATAAAACAACATTTTCTGAAAATAAATCATAGCTAGATCGATTTATCGCCCCCGAAATCTCCTGTATACTAATTTTTATGAAAATCGTTGGAGCCGTTTCCGAGATTCAGATTATATATATATATATATACAAGAATTGCTCGTTTAAAGGAATAAGATGTAGGATGCGAAATATAATTAAGAAAATGCATTACAATGAGTTGAAAAGATAAATCTGCAGTCCGCTTAAAAGATTGAATCGCTGTCACCTACG